GTAGGTTGTTTCCATCTTTTTGCTATTGTAAATAATGCTGCGATGAACATGAGTGTGCATATATCTGTTCCTGTCCTGGCACTCACCTCTCTAGGATATATACCTAGTAATGGGATTGCTGGGTCAAATGGTATCTCCAATTCCAGCTTTCTAAGGAATCACTATATTGCTTTCCACAGTGTTTTTATTACTTCAAGGCCCCACCAGCAGTGTACGAGAGTCCCAATCTCTCCACATCCCCTCCAGCATTTGTTATTTTCTGTCTTATCGAACCTTGGCATCAGTGCTGGGGTGAGATGGTAGCTCATCGTTGTTTTGATTTGCATCTCTCTGATGGCCAATGATTGTGAGCATCTCTTCATGTATTAGCTAAACACCTGAGTGTCCTCCTTGGTGAAGTGTCTATTTATGTTTTCTGCCCATTTTTCAATTGGATTGTTAATTCCTTTGGTATTGAGGTGTTGGAGTTTTCTATAAATCTCAGAGGTAAGTCTCTTGCCAGATGTGTTAGACTGGGTTCTCTAGAGAAACAAAAACCAGCAAAGCTTATATATAGAGAGAGAGAGAAAGAGAGAGAGAAATTTATCTTAGGAAAATGGCTCACAAACATATAGAAGCCGGCAAGTCCAAAGTCCCTGGAGGAAATGTCGGGCTGGAGGCAGCCTTAGCTTCTGCAACCACAGGGGGCCGAGAAATTCAAGGCTGGCAGGTAGTACACTGGTTGTTGACTCCAATGGAAGACAAATCCAAGATCTCCCGGCCAAGCTGTGGGCTGCTCACTCATGGAAGGTTGTAGTCAGCACACCAGGGACCCGATCCACAGAAGAATGTCTCTCTTTCCAGGATGTCCCTGGATATCCTGGAAGAAGGCCACATGCCTAGGGAAACTCCCCTTGGGCAGATTGGCCACTCAGAATACAGTCATCTGATCCCATTATGGGAACAACCACACAGAACTGGGGTCCAGCCAAGTTGACACCCAGCTCCAACTATCACACCAGATATGTGATTATCAGCAAATATGAATTTATTGCTGTCATTTTTGTTATGTGCTTTTTCGTGGTGTCGATATCTTTGTTCCATATAATTTTCTATGCTGAGCTTGTTTTGTTTATGAATCATGTTATCACTTCCTTTGTTGCTGTTGTTTTAGTGTTTGCTAAATATTTGTGCTGGTCCTCTTTTTTATTTTGATGTGAAAATTTATCATTTTTCTATGAGGTTAGATTTAGAGTTTTCCCAAGTTTAGAATAGTCCATTCTATCTTGTAGTTGTCTTGACTTCCCTACCATCTAGAAGTTCTGTAACAACACAGTCTTTTCCTTCTTTTTAGTTTGTAGTTGTCCTCATTTGTCAGTTGATGTCTCTGGTTCCCTGTTTATAATCTTGTAGGCTTATTTACTTTGGATACTTCCATAACTGTGTTGGTTTCTGCATTACATCATCATGTGGGTTAATGGTCAGTAGTTGTTTGCTGTTGTTGGTTCTCTGTCCAAAGGACTCCCTTTAGCATCTCTTGTACGATTGGTCTGGTTTTAACAAATTCCCTTAATTTCTGCTTATCTGGAAATATCTCAATTTCACTGATATTTAAGGGGCAGTTTTGCTGGGTACATAATTCTTGGTTGGAAATCTTTCTCATTCAGAGTTTAATATATAACATCCTATTGTCTTCTGGCCTGCATGGTTTCTGCTGAGAAATCTAAGCATAGTCTTAGTGGTTGCCCCTTGTAGGTAGCTTTTCCTTCTTCCCATGCTGCTCTCATGATTCTTTCTTTGTCTTTGGTTTTGGTGACTTTGATGATGATATGTCTTGGTGTTTTTCTTTTGGGGTCTCTCCTGTTTGGGGTTTGTTGGACTTCCTGAATGGATATATTCTCATCTTTCATCATACCAAGAAAATTCTCTTCTTATACATTTTTGACATTTTCTGTGTTGCTTTGTCTCTTCCTGTTCTGGAATTCCAATTACATGTAGATTATTCCTTTTTATGGTATCCCACATGAACTTTAGGCTTTCTTCATTTTGTCTTGATCTTTTTTCTGATTGATCCCTTTCCAAAGAAGTGTTCAGGTATTTGCCTTCTATCTCAGTAATTCTGTCTTCCATTGATTGATTTCTGCTCTTTGCCCATTCAATATCTTATCTATTTCTGAAAATTTAGTATTAATCTTCTGGATTTCTGTGTGATTTTGTATCATTTCTAATTTTTCACTTATTTTGTCATTTTGTCCTTGTATTTTCTTTCGAAGTTGTTCTAGGGTTTTCTCTGTATTTTCCTTGATCTGTCTCTCAATTCTTTGAAGATACTAAATATAATTCTTTTGAATTCCTTATCTGGGATTTCCAATGCTGCATCTTCCTCAGGGATGTGTTCTGGGTCTGTATCCTGGTCCCTTGTTTCTCCTGATTTATCTTGCTTCTTTGTGTGGACTGTGATGCTCTGTTGTCTCCGAGGCATTGTGATGTTTTTGTGTTTATATTTAATTGGTGATTGTATGTTGGAGTGACTTGCCCATGATTTTTGTTTTCTTTGTATGTTATCTACACAAGCAGGGTACTGTGCTGTGGTCCTCTATTCACTGGTTGACAGCGCTTATACACTCACCACCTGTCTTCTTTCCTGTTGTCAGCCTCTTATATGTCCCTGCCAACCTTGGCTAACAGAGCCTATTCCTAAGTCCTGTTTTCGTTTAGGTTTTCCCACTAGTTGGTTCCTGATCCACTTTTGTATAGCTCCTTTCAAAGCTCAGGGCTCCAGGATTATCTTCTGTATCTCTGTCAATTGGTTTTTCTTCTCTTTGTTGAAGAGGGTCTATGTTGCTTGTCTGCTTATTCTTCCATCTTACTGGAAGTCCTCTTCATTTTGTTTTGATCTTTTTCCTGATTGATCCCTTTCCAAAGTAGTATTGAGGTATTTGTCTTCAGCCTCATTAATTCTGTCTTTCATTGATTCAATTCTACTCCTTTGTCCATTCAATGTATTATTTATTTATGAAAATTCAGTATTAATCTTCTGGATTTCTATCTGTAGATTTTGTATCATTTCTGATTTTTCATTTATTTTACTATTTTGTTCCTGTAGTGTCCTTTGAAATTGTTCTAGGGTATTCTCTAGTTTTGTCAGTGTTTTCCTTGATCTGTGTCTTAATCCATTGAAGGTACCTAAATATGAATCATTTGAATTCCTTACCCGGGCATTCCAATGATGCTTCTCCTCAGGGATGTGTTCTGGGTCTGTTTCCTGGTTCCTTGTTTCTCTTGCTTCTTTGTGTAGACTGTGATGCTCTGTTATCTCTGAGACACTGTGAAGTTTTTGTGTTTATATTTAATTGGTGATTGTATGTTGGAGTGACTTGCCCATGATTTTTATTTTCTTTGAAGGTTATCTACATAAGCAGGGTACAGTGCTCCTCTATTTGCTAGTTGCCAGCACATGTACACTCACCACCTGTTTCCTTTCCTGTTGTCAGCTTCCTGTATGTCCATGCTGCCCTTGGCAAACGGAGCCTATTCTTAGATCCCTGGAATCCAAATGAGAATGCTGTCACCTTAATATCCAAAATGACCACCGCTTGTAAATATTTAAAATGCTGTGCCCTCGGTCACTTTAAATACCCAAGTCATCACTTTTAAACAATCAAATGGCTGTGTCCTCCAGACAGCTGAAAGTCTGCAGCTCAGGTTGTCTCCCTCCTTGTTCTTTCCCTTCCTAGCCATTGGCCATCAGCACAGTCATTCCTGCAGCCCTTGGCAACCAGGGCTGATCTGTAGGTCAGTTCTCAGGTCCCAACACCACTTGGAAATATTCAGGCTGTTGGTGCTGTCAGAGTAGCTGACAGTCCACAGCTCTGTCCATCTCTGTACTCACTGTTTTCATTCAGGTTTTTCTACTAGTTGGTGCCTAATCCACTTCTGTATACTTCCTTTCAAAGCTCTGGCTCCAGGATTATCTTCAGTATCTCTGTCAGTTGGTTTCTCTTCTCTGTTGAAGAGGGTCTGTGTAGCTTGTCTGCCCATTCCACCATCTTACTGAAGTCTAGATTGGGTTTTAATAAAAACAAAGTAGTGGGCTCAATTCATTCAAGGTCTGATTTGAGAGTAGAAAAATGAGTCTCCCTTGGGAGGGAGCCAAGAGTCATTTGGTATTAGAAAGCAATAAAGGATAATGATTCTACTCTGGGTGGGCAGAGATGATGTACGTTTACCAGTTCCTTTGGTGTAAATTAGTCTGCCTTGGTTGATTTCCTGGGATCACTGAATGAGGAGTTGAAAAGAGATGTGCAGCAATGTACCATGTACAGTATTCACACCATGCAGATGCAGTGGCCATAAGTAACCTCAGAATGTGAATGTAAAATATAGTAAAGTAATTAGGAAACAAATGACTTTTGATTATGTATTATCTTTATTTTTAATATAATTTATGTCATTTTAAAAGTTCAGATAAGGAGTTCCTGAATTAAACACTTTACTAGTAGCCAAAAGTTTGGTGATTCTAACCCACTTAGAGGTGCCTTAGAAGACAAGCCTGGTAATCTGCTTCCAAAAGGTCACAGCTGTGAAAACACTATGGCCCAGTTCTACTCTATACAAATGGGCTTTCCATGAGTCTGAATTGAGTTGGCAGCTGACAACAACTAACAACAGCAACAAGTTTAAATAATTTTTAATAAAAGCTGTGTTTCACAACTAACTTGCAGAGCTCCTAAAAAATGAACAATTGTCTCTTCCAGTAGGTCCTGAATACTGTTTTCCTTTGGTGAGGGCTTGCCTGTATGTACCTCATGCCCCTGGTTTGGCCTCATTCTTCCCTTACCCCCAGGTGAAGGTACAGGAGTGCAAGCAGATGACAATCTCAGAGTTTGAGAAGTTCCGGAAGCTCCTGGCTGAGGAGGAACTGCAGGTCCTGGAGAAACTGGAGGAAGAGGAAGTGGCAATGATGCAGGTGCTGAGGCAGGAGGAGCACACCCTGACTGGGCAGAGCCATGCCGTGGAGGAGCTTATCTCTGAGCTGGAGGGGCGCAGTAAGCTCCCTGCCTTGGGGCTGCTCCAGGTGATACTTCTGCCCTAGGCTGGGGGTGGAGGGTGGAAAGAAAAAAGATAGATGTGAGGAGCTTGGCTTCAGCCCTTGGCAGGAAGCACCTTTGTGGTTCTGGCCCTGAGAAGCATGGGAGAAGGGCTTCACTATGGATCTGGAAAGGAGGTGCACGGCCTGGCTGTGGTCAGTTGTTCTATGGTTGTATCCTCCTCCTCTGGCCACAGAGCCTTCCCAGAGTCTGATCTCAGATGGTGGAATGGTGTGTCACAAACAGAGGCAGCTCTTGTGTCCTCAGCCCTGTGCCCTTCCCTGGTGGCTACGCTCCCCTCCCTGCATGTGACAGACCCTGAGCAGAGACTTCCAGCCACCCATGACCCCAACTCTGAACTTTGTGTGATGGAACAAAATAACAGAAGCTGAGACAGCTACCTTCCCAGCATTTCACATGATTCAGATTTTACTTATGGATGATTCTGTATGATTCTCTAAACTGGTTTTAGAAAAATTATTTTTATATAAGAACCTTTAAATTATTAAGATATAATAATAAATAATAAGAATAAAATAATAAATAATAAAATTTTTTGTTGCCTAGGTGGGGCAAATGGTTAAGTGCTTAACTAACTAACTAAAGATTGCTGGTATGAACCCACCCAGAGGTCTGGCAGTCTGCTTCAGAAAGGTCACAGCTGAGAAATCCATATGGAGCAGTTCTGCTGTGCACACGAGATTGCCGTGAATCAACTCAAAGGCAACAACAATAATCTTTTACTGCACAACTGGTGACATGCTTTTGTGACTCATGTTCATATAGATGTGAACTCAAGCTGTGGGTTTGACCAAGATTGCTTAGAGGGAGAGTGAGGTAACCTAAGGAAGGCCATGTTGTTGTTGTTGTGTTTGCCATCGAGTCGGATCCGAGTCATAGCGACCCCTCCTTGGGTTTCCGAGGCAGTATCACTATGAAAGTAGATTGCCCAACCTTCCTTCCGAGGAGTGACTGGTGGGTTTGAACTGCCAGCCTTCTGGTTTGCAGTCAAATGCTTTAGGCACTTTGCCACCAGAGCTCCCAAGGAAGGCCATGTTAGGGCTAAGAAATGGATCCTATACACAGAGAGCTGAGGCATAATCGGGAGAAATCAGTGGAAAACAAACAGCTATCAGGGGAAAAGCATTATAAGGATAGGAAGGGGTGTCAAGCATCACTGAATGCTCCAGAAAGATAAGGACTGAAAACTGTCACTCAGTTTACAGTGTGAAGGCAAGAGCTGTTTTGGTTGAGCAAGGGGAAGGGAAGTCAGGCTAGAGCAGCTTAGGTATGAATGGATGGTGGAAGAAATAGAGATGAGAATGAGAAATTCATGCAAGATATTTAACTTTGAAGGGGAGGAAGGAGAGCAGTTGGATGGGAGGAAGGGTGGTAGGACACAAATGAGGTGGTGTCTGCAGAAGCTTCTCATGCTCTAGAGGCCAGGAGAACGGTGGTGATGGACTTGACTGTTCTCTCCATTAACCCAGTATTTCTGTCTTCTCCATAGGGTCTAGGCGAGATTCTGAGCAGGTATGTTGTTCATGGGAGCCGAAGGGTATTCTTAAAACAAGTGGTCTCTGCATTTTCGTGGGCAAAGCATTAATAGGCCCTGTGCTTCTTCTAGGGTTAAACATCTGGAGCTACATCCCCCAAAGCCCATTTCCATGGACATAAAGACTGTGTGCAGAGTTCCAGGGCTGATGGAGACACTGCGGAGATTCCAGGGTAAGGGGTGCATAGGGAGTATTTTAAGGTTCTCTCGTTGGTGGAAACAGATAAGCACTCTTCTGCTAACTAGAAGGTGGACACTTTGAACCCAGCCAGGGGCACCTAGGAGGACAGGCCTGGCAAACTGCTTCCAAAGGTCATAGCCTTGAAAACTGTATGGAACAGTTCTATTCTTAACACATGGTGTCATCACAAGTTGGAGTTGTCTTGATGGCAGCTAACAACAACAGTAGCAAGAGTGTACTTTAAGACGCGAGAGGTTTCAGATACTATGATTCCAGAGCAAGTAGCTGGGCCTCTTTGTGCAGTGAGTCTCTAAGGAATATTTCCTAAAGATCACAGCTTTGACCTTAAAGGTTGGCCATCTTCCAAGGTACAAGGTCCAGGGAAACCCTTTTTTCCCTCCTTTCACTTTCCTCTGGCATAGTGCCTAAGGTGTTTGACTGCTAACCTGAAGGCTGGTGGTTCAAACCCACCATCCACTCAGAAGGAA